TCTGGGAGCTCCTCAAGGGCAGGAATGGAGTGACTTCCCTCTCTGTGCACCCAGGACAGGGCTGGGCAGGAGAAGGGAAGCCGGAGTGGTGGAGAGTCCCGAAGGAAGGGACTAAACTCCAGCCATCTGTCCAGCAGTGTCTGTTCACACCCCTCCTCCCTGCACGGGCGCAGACATACACATGCACATATGCTCACTCTCTCTTTCTGGTTGAAGGTCCTGGGAGCCCTTGGGAACGCTGCTGCCTGGCAGGCCTACAGTTTAGAGCGCTGTTCTGCCTGCCCGTGGCCTCGGCTGCCACCTGGTGGCTGCGCGCACTAAAGGAAGGGTAGATTCAGCAGAGCCTGGGAAGCTGAGCTTCAGGCGCCGCTCTTCCCCCTCACACTGGGACTAGACGCCTTTCCATGGCGTAATCCCAGAAACCTCTCAGGTCATGCCAGCAACTGGGTCTTCCTGTGGAATGCAAGGGCAGTGGGACCTCTGAGCCCCCTCCTTGCGGCCCCAGTGGCCGAGTCTGCGAACACCTCAACCTCCCTGCACTTTTGGTGGGGTCAGCTTGGGCGCTTAGCCATCCTAGTCCTGACATTACACCTCTTCTTTCGGCAGGGGTCTGGGAGTCCAGTGGCTTCTGTCCTGGGCCATGTTTTTTCCAGAGGGTGAGAGATGGCATCATTTCTGGGACCTTGTTCCCTGGAGACTCTGGCCCCTTGAAGAAACAGGATAGAGAGAGCTTGAGAGAGAGAGAGAGAGAGAGAGAGAGAGAGAGAGAGAGAAAGTATTAAGGATGAATATCAGTGTCTGCCCCGAGTAAACTGGAAGATGATGGCATCAGGGGCACTGCTCTGGGCTGTATAGACTGTGCCTTCACTAACAGGTCCCTGAGACCAGGTGTGGGCCCGTATCCCTGGAGGGAGGGGTGCCTTCCTCTGATTCGAAGGTATCATTTAGGCTAGTGAATGGCATTGAGAATGGCAGATGCCAGGGACAAGCAGGAGCATGTGTGGGATGAGGATGCGGCGCGGCTGTGTGACATTTCGGAGCCTGCAACACATCCATATAGAAGCCTTGGAGGAGCAGTTGGGTGCATGGTGGAGTTCTGAAACTCAGCTGGGCAGTCGCCACTTGAGCCAGAGATTCTGCTTTCGACTTGGATGCCCATTGAGAGGTTTAGAGCTCAGGTCTGGGTCGGGCAGCTTGGAAGTAGCACAGCTTGGACACTTGGCAGCCTGAGACTGTGGATAAATCAACTTAATTCTCGGAGCTCCAGTTCACTGTAAATTGGGGCAGTAAATGATGTCTGCATGACAAGTGGTGTTATGAATGTTAAACATTCACATGAAATGCATAGAATAGTGCTTAGCATACAGTACACAATAAATGTTAGCTATTTAAAAATTACTATGGTTATTCCGATTATTTATTACAGAGTGAACTGAATTGGATGCAAGATTATGGTACGTCAGAGCTAGCAAGGTCCTTAGGATCATTTAGCCCAGTTTACTAATATTACACTATGGAATTTAAGCCCAGGGAAGGGACAGTACCTGACCAGGGTCATGTAAGGAGTCGAGTGAGAAGTAGGCTGGAGGCTCTCCGTGGCTGGCAGGTACAGAATGTGCCAAACCCATCTGCCAGCCTGGATCTCTTGAGGCATCAACACAATGGATCTGGCCACACTTCCACATCGCTGAGGCTGGTACAGTTCTGGACATGGACTTTGTAAATGAATAACTGGGCCTTTGGTCAGTTCTAGCTATGAACTTGGAGGTATGGGGTGGAATGGTGAGGACAGTTGGGGGCAAAGTGAGGAAAGGGGCAGGGAGGAGAGGGGAGCTAGAAAAAGGGGAATGAGACAGGCTGAGCTAGTGAACTGGAATTGGAGGTTGGGAAGAGGCTTTCCTTGATGGTGGTGGGGCTGTTTTCTTTTTAATTTTAGTTTAATTTAATTTTAAGTTCCAGGCTACATGTGCAGGATGTGCAGGTTTGTTACATAGGTAAAAACATGGTGGTTTGCTGCACCTGTCAACTCGTCACCTAGATGTTAAGCCTAGCACGCATTAGCTATTTATCCTGATGCTCTCCCCACTCTCATTCCCAACAGGCCCCAGTGTATGTTGTTCCCCTCCCTGTGTCCATGTGTACTTATTGTTCAGATCCCACTTATAAGTGAGAATATGCGGTATTTGGTTTTCTGTTCCTGTGTTAGTTTGCTGAGGATAATGGCCTCCACCTCCATACATGTCCCTGCAAAGTACACGATCTCATTCCTTTTTATGTCTGCATCGTATTCAATGGTACATGTGTACCATCTTTTCCTTATCTAGTTTATCATTTATGGGCATTTGGGTTGATTCCATGTCTTTGCTATTGTGAATAGTGCTGCAATGAACGTACGGTTGCATGTATCATTTTTTTATTTTTATTTTTGAGATGGAGTCTCATTGCATCACCCAGGCTGGAGCAGGTGCAATGGTACAATCTCTGCTCACTGCAACCTTCTCCTCCTGGGTTCAAGCAATTCTCGTGCCTCAGCCTCCCGAGTAGCTGGGACTACAGGTGCATGCCACCATGCCTGGCTAATTTTTATTTTTATTTTTGTATTTTTAGTAGAAGCGGGGTTTTACCATATTGTTCAGGCTGGTCTCGAATTCCTATCCTCAGGTGATCTACCCGCCTGGGCCTCCCAAAGTGCTGGGATTACAGGTGTGAGCCACCACACCTGGCCGCATGTATGTTTATAATAGAATGATTTATTCCTTTGGGTAGACACCCAGTAATGGGATTGCTGGGTCAAGTGGTATTTCTGGCTCTAGGTCTTTGAGGAATCACCACACTGTCTTCCACAATGGTTGAACTAATTTACATTTGCTGGTGCTGTTTTCTACATTGAATCTGAGGGCTACTGTATGATGTGTAGGACACTTTCTGATTGGAGCCTCACAATGATCCTACAGGTGGTTACAACTGAGCCCAAGTTTTAGAGGAAAAAAATGCAGACTCAGAGAGAGAAAAGTGATTTGCCCAAGGTTGCATAGCCAGTTAGTGACATTGAACCCTGGCCTTTTGACTTTAAATCTATGGCTAATTCTACCCCAGCATAGGGTTCTCTTTGGGGTGTGTGTGTGTGTGTGTGTGTGTGTGTGTGAGAAATGGGGAGACAAAGAAGGAAACAGTGTTTGCCTTTGCAGAGCATGCAGTCCATTTGGAAGCATGCATGTGGGAAAGTGGGGAGGGACCCTGTCAAGCATCTAAGAGGAGTGGTTGGCATTTGCTGTGTCCACTCCATCCTTCTCACTCACTACTCAGTGCCTGTAGCCTTGCCTCTCTCCCCAACACTCTGCTGGGATTGCTCTCACCAAAGACACTATTGTCCAGCTCCCTGTTGAAAGGTAAGATGGTCTATCTGATTCTTCTGCTCTCAGTATAATAGGATAATCACCATTTTCTCTGGGAAGCTGTTCCTGACCATCTGCCCACAGCTCATCAAGCTCCTATGAGCCTGCAGACTCACCCTGGTCATGCTGCCCATCTCTCTGAACAAGACTGTGAACTCTGAACTCTGTGAGGCGGACCACACACACCTCTTTATTGCAATGTGCAAGTGTGTTGCATGGGCCTGGCATATAGGAGGTCTCCGAGAGCTATGTGTTGACATGGAGACCTTATCCCTTGCACTCACTTACACTGCTTCCAGTAAAGTCTCAGCTTCCAGATCAGCACCTTCAGCTCCATTCCCTCCTGCACAGCTCCACAGGCACCTCAGGTCCAAAATGGAATTCTTGATCTTTCACCAACCTGAGTTCTCTGTTCCTGTAAGTGGCACCCATTCACCCAGACCAGAGATAAGGGAGTCACCCAGAATCCCCCTCTCCCTCAGCCCCTGAGTTTCACTTTCCAACACATCTCCCTCCACTGCCACTCCCAGTTCCCCGGCTTCAAGCCTCGATCTTGCCTGATGTTTGCAGCTGCCTGCCCCCTTGTTTTCATTTTCACCCCCAAATTTTCCTCTGCACTGCAGCTAGGGAGACCTTTCCTGCTAGAATCCAGCCATTCACACCTGCGAGAGGAATCTAAACTATGTGCGTGAGCTTGAAGCCAAATTTCCCTGAGCAAATCTCATCCTGCCAATTCTATATTAGCGGGATGTACCCTAACAAGGGTATATCAGGGACTGAATATGCACATTAGGGATAAAATGAGGCCCATCTTACGAGGTTGTGGTGAAGAGTGAATGAGTTAATGGATGTAAAGAAAG